ATCTATGTAAATACAAACAATAGTATAAACTCATAAGCTTAACCAAGTACTTGTAAACATAAATTGCATTTGTAACAATCAAGCCCTAACTCGTTTAGTTGGACGTTTTTTTTTGGCAGATAAAGAAATTCAAAGAGGCATTGGAGAAGCATGGGAGGGAGCAATGTAGCATTGGAAAGACAAAGGGACTCGAGGAGAAAGAATTAGTCGCCATGGCCGCGAATAAAGACCTATCTTTCGATTATAAACCCAAATCGAGTGAAATCCGAGAGACTAAAGAAAAAACTATATTTCCCCAAAAAACTACGACCTCAAAAGAAAAAGATGAAGAAGGTTCTGTACTAATTAGCCATGCAGGAATTGTCTAGAAATGTTATTTTTCCTTTCTTTGTTTTATTTGCGATAGAGATTGAATCGGACGGACGATGAGAGTATTTGTCGGCATGTGTGATGTGTCTATAATGTAAGGTATGGTTCATTTTGGGGATTATTCTTGTGAAAGCTTGTTAATTGTTGAGATAGGTTGGTATGTACTATGTATACTTATTAACGCTGGGATTTATTCATGTAATCTCATTATTAAAAGTAAAATATGTCTTGTAATGTACTAATAGTCCAATTTGTTCATGTCTTAAGGTTTTAAATGATTGAACTAGTTCACTATTGACCAACTTCGGACGGAAAAATATATACTAGTAGTACACAATATGTAGTAATTGCTTACCAAAATAGAACAATTAATCTAACTTTTCCAGTCCATTCCAAAAATAAAATATTATTATATGCAGTTTAACGTATCTAAGTGTTGGATAAGCTTCTAGATGACTTGCCACCTAAGATATCACTAACAAGGTGGTGTTAGCATTAAGAAAGTGGTGTTAGCATTAAGAAGGTGGTGATAACACTAACAAGGTGGTGTTAGCATTAAGAAGGTGGTGATAACACCACCTTGTTAGTGTTATCACCACCTTCTTAATGCTAACACCACTTTCTTAATGCTAACACCACCTTGTTAGTGATATCTTAGGTGGCAAGTCATCTAGAAGCTTATCCAACA